AATTGAGGGCTCTTGTGAATACGTACGGTAATGAACCTTCGGGCTCCATAAAATGCTAGGAAATTCTTGAGTAGATGCACAATTAGCGGCTTCTCAAGAAGGGATCAGCTCCATAAGTGAACGTGCCCATAAAATTAAATTCTCATTAATATCCCTCAGAAATAAATGACAGTTAACTATTCTTCGGCTAGATGGCAGCACTATGTTCGACATTGTTGGCTGGTAGTCATGTTGGCGATACGCTAGTGGCCGCATAAGTTATGGAACCTGCAGCATGTGGCGGCACCAGTCAAGCTCTGCAGCTGTGAGATTATCGAAGAACACCAGTAGATGGCAGAACCAGCATCCTACCGCTGGGGTGGACAATGCCTAGGCAATTTTTGTATATAGTCGTTCATGATGTTCTTGATTCTTCAAAATGAAAAAGGAGCTCTACAGTACCAACAGAGTTCAGGCATAATACTATTTCGTGTTAATTCGACGTAACTATGAAATTATATTGCTGTAAGAAGTGCCATGAAGGCGTATGGATGAGTGGATGTATAGATCCACGTTTTCGTGACCTCGGCGTTAGTGTGAGGCAAGCGGTCAGCTTCACGCCTCGACCGCTTTACCTACGGGAAAAGAGACCCCAGTATCTATTGCATACGAATTTGGGTGGACGCCAGAGCCAGTCTGGACAACGTGGAGAAAATTCTTGACCCTACCGGGACTCGAACTCCGACCCTCAGTCGTCCAACCCGCAGACAGTCCCTATACCCGGCTTCCGTCATTATAGTGCCATGAATATTAATTATCTTCTTAGTTGTAAAGTCGTGAATATTGATAGAGAGGTGACAGTGTTTCGGAGGAAATAGTAGCTTCCATCTTGAAGGCAAATGCAAACTTCAATCACGTTTGTGTGCATGTGTGCGTGGGAGGGGTAGGACTAGTTACGCGTCACCTCCGACAGCTTCTGCCTTCATCAGACACCCCAGTAAGAGAAATACAAGGGGCAACGTGAGAGAAATGGTAGAGGTCACGGTATATGATCTAGTCAATAAAACGAAGGGTTGAAATTCACCCTATTCAGAGTGCGCGACGTCACAAGCGATAAAGATGGAGCTTGTCAAGCGCTCAGAAGTCCATTACTGAACTCCCTGAGTGAAACACAAGACAAGACAGAGACACGACGTAAGTCAGCCTGAGAATTGCATTAACTTAAGCTACCTTAAATAGTCTTGCAAGAAACTACATTGCTTAAAATCTTAAAAATATTTCAGACGTTACGTCGACCTCCAAGAACGTTTCAACGAAATCTGTGAAACGGATTACGAAATAAATGCGAGACCTTCACATCCCACAAGCAGTAAATTAAACTTTCTTAATAAACCTACAAAAGTCTGGGACAGGGATGGCTAACGTAGAAATATTACTTGTATATTTTAGTGTCATGTTGGGTTTGTGAAATTTTTTATTTTATTATATAGTATGATTTAACGTAAAAAGTACACGTAAAAGATCCTCATGTCTCTAGGAGACCTATGAGCAAAATTATTAGATAAAAAGTTTCCCGCCCAAGTAGTTTCCAATGCCTCCGGTAGATGGGTAAGCATCGGGTACCGCAGCCAGCCTTGCTGGCTGAACGGGGCTGATAGTGAGCACCAGTACCGGCAGGGTATGGAGACTGGTAGAATATTAAATGGGGACGTACAATAGACTATCAGTCGCGGTGCATGGGGAAACACACCCCCTCCAATAATAATAAAATAATAATAACGTAAAAAGTAAAGCTATCCCTGTAACAGACAGTGGGGGCCCATAGGTTTGTGTGACGTCGAGGTTCCCACTTTTTCTAGACAATCGGCTCACAGATGGCGGTGAGGTTAAGTAAAGCTAGTATCCTTGTAACAGGCCTTTGAGGCTCATAGGGTTGTAAGACGTCGAGGCTACCACATTTTCTACTCAATCTGCTCACATGAGGCGGTTAAGTTGTCAGTCTTAAGCGCCGACCGTTCTTTACCTNCCCGGAATATTCCTGGTACTCATTTCTGTCAGAGGCTGAGTCGAACCCAGGGCCATAGTGCGACTGTAAGGAATAGGTAAATTAAAAAGTCTAATGACTTCACTGGGAATCGAACCCTCGACATTTCAGCTTGTAGCATTATACCTCAACCAGCTACGGTACCGCGTGCACCCAGAGGCTTCCTCCGGGCTCACATGACAAGAAACGTTTGCACAATGAGTGCACCTCTTAGTTTGTATAATCAGTGACCAATTGGTTTACGAATAGAAATCGATTTTGTAACTTACTGCAGGTCAGTCGCATGTGAGATTCTGTGTGTAACATCTTTACATTAATTTCTTTGGTTCGTAAAAATTCTCATAATCTAGGGACTGTTGTTGTTTTTTTACATAACATTGTCAGGTTCCACAGTTTTCTGATGTCGTGTATGCCCGGTGGTATCCCGGTGGATACAGTAGATGCTATAATGCATAAAGCGATCAGTGCCCGCACCTGTTTCGTCGTCATATAGAAACAGACACTTTTAAGGGCAGATCTACGCCCTATTGCGACGTAACGCTATATAATTTAGTGGACGGGTATTCGTGCTTAGCAACATAATTCTGCTTCTATCTTCACAGTAGAAGGAACTCTCGTATCCTGAAGATGGTTACAGCACGCACCTCCGAAATGTCCTAGATACCAGACAACACTGCGTTGTATTCCATAAATCCATGATGTTAACAATCCACGCTGTTAGAATCTTACATTGCAATATACTGCTTAATGCATAAAGCGATCTGGCAGATATTTTTTTCCCTTTGCGTTCCCAAGGAGGTAGATTGATTAATGGACGTGTGATGTCCCGCCTCGTTGCTTTTACGACCCCCTGTGGGGCTCTTAGACCAAGCTGTATATATATAAACCTACGTATTATGTGTATTTTTCCTGAAGATGGAAGCGATATTTATCTCCGAAATATCTGCAACACTACTCACTTCTAGACGAGTCAGTGTGACAGCTTAGAATGGGTAGCGTGCTCGTAGTTAGAATCATTGAGTAACACCCGCTCACACCTGTATTCGTATGGGACATGAACTAAGGACTCCCAATGTGCCTGGTTGAAATCCAGGCAGGACAGAGACTCCATATTGGTTTTCAGGTTCCTGCAGGGGTGGAATACTCGGAGCGGTAGAATAAGCCAACAAGCCGACCACGGAGACAATTATCAAGCAGGCTGTAGAACATAAAATATAAACAATATTTAAAAAACTGGATTCCTAGGTCAGAGAATACGAATCTAAGAATACCATCTTCTGAGATGTGACGTCGTGTAGTCTGGTAGAAGTTTTACCGACGTTTCGGAGAAATATACTAGTCCTATCTACATTGTCGCACTACTTTGCGCTTTCTTCTTGATTGTTGCTTGTTTTGTTTGTTTTTCCACCCTGAAGAACCAGCAAATATATTCCTCGAGAATCTCAGTTAAGTTTTATGAGACTACACATTCCAAAAAGTACAAAAACTGGACAGATGTATCGGTTTCTTTGTCATTTTTAGCCACTTTTCCTTACTTCGAAAAAAAAATAAATGTAGGGTTATGAGATTGGCTTGCTCTGTGGGTCTCTATGTGTATTGCCCCCCCCCCAAAATATTGAATGCCTAAACCAGTCTCTATAAAACCTACAGTCCATTCGCGGAGACGAGATAGTCCTCGAAAACAAATGCACGCGGTGTCTCCTTCGCTCTTTGAATGAAATCATGCAGCGATCACGTGATGCGTGTTTCGTTGCAGGGGCGTCCAAAGTTCACTCTTCAGTCTGAATGCAGGTTAACGTGCGTCCGAATGCAGTGAGTACACTGAGTAACTGCGCGCTTTGTCCACTCCTTGCTGTCAGCTGTGGCGACTCGGGGCTTGCTTTGTTTACGCTGACTGTCTCGTCTCCGCGAATGGACTATAGTACATATATCATGACACCTGAAGTCACCTTAATGACGTACTTCATGAACCCCCCTCATCAGTAATACCAACACTTAAGCCTCTATAATTGTCAAATACCTTGAATATATAAATTAAACGGCATGAAACTAGATATGTATATCATGACACTTGAGGTCACCTCAACGGCGTACTTCATAAACCCCTCTCATCAGGAATACCAACATTACAGGTTCGTAAATTGTCGTATTAAATACTGAAATTGTAATGAAAGGAAAGTAGGCAATTAGTTCTTCCCAGAACTTCTTGTTTCATATAAACCAATTCATATTTTTCTCCTGTAGCTGGAAAGTCACGTGCACATTGCCGCGTCCGTTGCATCTACGGCCTTCGTCAGCAGCAGGACAAGTGTCTGATATCTATATATACGTACGAGTTTTGTGTATCATTGGTGATAGTTACGAACAACATCAGAAAATGGCAACATGAAATTGCACTGTCTTTCTGTAGGTATAACAACATGGATGAAATACCTAATGAGAGGTTGGAGAAAGTTACATAAAATATTCGTATAATTAGAACAATCAAGAGTATGAGATGGGCTGGGCATATAGTGCGCATGTATGTAACAGGAATGTGTATAAGGTTTTGGTGGGAAAGCCAGAAGGAAAGAGACTACTAGAAAGGCCTAGAAATAGGCGTGTGGATAATATTAAAACGGATCTTAGATAAATAAAGAGCGTGACATGGACTGGATTTATTTTGTTCAGGATGTGGCTCTTGTGAACATGGTAATGAAGTTTTGGGGTCCATAAAATGTTGGGAAGTTCTTGAGTAGTTGCGAAACTGGCAGCTTCAGAACAAGGGCTCAGCTCCATGCAGTTAGTCATTACAGTCTCAATATATGTTGAAAAAATGTTTCAAATCGGAGATATTCATTGAAGTCATGATTACAGAATATCCTTCAAAGGCTGTACTGTGCAAGTGTTGATGTCGGTAAAGTTTTATGCGGTAACAGGTAGTAGGGATGGGAATTATTACATTTTCAGTTTGAATTTTAAAGGGACATCCCAATAATATAATAAAAATGGTGAAATAATCACCATTACTTTTATTAAAAAGCACGTTTTCTTGAATTAATTATGTACTCCCTCAGAAAATACAATACAATATACAGATTTCAGTGGACGCACTAAGTATGCATTTATTCTGAAACAAGAAAAGTACTGAAGTATGAAAATAATTGGATTGTTAACTCTATTATACGTAATAGTGAGGCCACATGTTTGAAACTATTGACCACTTTGAGGATGAGAGTTTGAACATAAATTATTACTGGGTTTATAGAATTTATAATTTTATATAACGTAATTCAGTCGAAGAAATAACTTACAAATTAAATAAAATTATACATTTTTTGGTTTGTAAATAGTTGCAAATTATTATTCCAGTTTTCTTCCTTGGCGATTCTGAAAATAAAAGAGACATATTTAGCATTAGTAAGAGACATTTGCTGACTCCCATAAGAGTCATATCTACATTAGAGGACAGCTGGAACATTATTACATAATTATTATCCTTAGTTATTCTCAGGTGAACTCAGTTGGGTTGGATTTGATTTAGTTAATATTTTCACAATTTAGGTTATTGCTACATACTGCATGCATGTCCTTGAAAATTGTCGCTTCTTCAGATGTTCCAGATGGCTTGTGCCGCGTTATGTAACTGTGGTAACCCCATTACTGTTAATGCTTACCACACCCTATACCCAGGGGTGTTGCGTGTGTCTGTGTGAGTGTCCGAACATTTTCACTTTGATGGCGGGACTCTCGATAAAGGAAGAGCAGAACTGCTGGGCATAAACGCGATTGCCACAGAGTTTTATGGGCAGGGCAATGACTGCGTTGTGGCCTGCTCTCTCAGCCGCCGACAGCCTTGCTTTCGAGTCCTGGCTTGGGTTCTTGACCAGACTATGACCAATAGAAAGACACCTGCATACTTCATGCTTCGAGCCTCATCTCTGAAGAGACGACGGGTCCGGCTTGTAACGGAGTACGAAGTGTGCTGCTCGCACACAGATGGCAGGTCAATGCTTTCTCATTACGAGACTGTAGTTGGCGTTCATTTGCAGTCCCGTCATGATAAGGTTAACTGTTTTTTTTTATAGGAAAATCACCTCAACATCTGACACCAAAATTGTGTATCTGCTTCTTTTATCTCCCATCTCAGCTACATTTAATAATGATTCAATTCAATTAGTTTTTTTATTTGCGTGCAAACTTAACAGCACAGGGGCCAATTACAAAGTTGGCACTAGTACATAGAAATACATAAAACTACAAAAAAAAAATACAAAATAAGACAATAATAATAATAATAATAATAAATGTAACTATGAAAATTTTCTTATTCTTAATTAAGCACAACTCCACAAAAACATGAAGGAAAGTGGAGGTACAACTCCAACAATCTTGATCTCGACCCTAGTGAATGGCCAGCTTCAAGTCCCCGAAGCCTTACCCTCGGGTGAAGAGCCACCTATACCCATTGGATAGGAGCTGGGTGGGCCTCGGAGCCGGTCTGGGCGCTGTGGAGAAGAGAAAAATCACTTGTTGCTCTTGGGAATCGAACCCCGTAGCCTGTCGATAAACAGACTTAGCTATCCAGGCTCCGCTAATAATAATAATAATAATAATAATAAAAATAACGAGTTTGTACGATGATGAATCTGTGGTACAGAAGATTAAGCTATGTGAGTTCCGCTTGGAACACTTTACCTTCTGTTGCGAAAGGTCCTACAGGCTAATGTACCGATGCGTTGTGTATTATTCCAGCAAATTTATTGCACTTTTATTTTCTGATATCGATATAAGTATTTGTACTCAATTTACCATAATTTTATAGACCCGCAAGTTCTGAGGCATCCTTCTCATTGCTTGTTCGTCCGCCATAAGGACTACTTCGCCATCTTGGCTGTCCTGCACTGGGTATTCTCCACTTGCAGGGACCAATATGCCGGATGGTCCATCTTCAGAGCTTTCAACTGTTCTAGACCTGCAAATACATACAATCATCTGTAAGTAACTTAGCATTATAAATATTATATTAAATCACTTAAAATACAGTGGTTACTGTATCTAACAGTCAGTTTAGCATGCAAGAACCACATTCTGCCCACACAGTGTATTTATGTGTTCCGTATGGTTCTCACAATAAACAGCGACTGTTTCCCTAAACAGCATTAACCGGTTGGGCTTTGTAGTGGAGACGTCATGTGTTTCCTGTGAGGTACGAACTGGATTTATGTATATAAGAATCTCTTCACTTCTTCCGGTACAAGTGTTCACCGAGTCGTTGCCGAGCAACGATAGAGGTATAGAGAGAGAAAAGAAGAAGTGGGGGTAGTAGTTGTTTCACTAATCACCAACAACGATGATATGAATTAAAGCACAAAAGAAAACTCTGAATACAAGGGAACCCGAAGTTTCGACATAGAAGTGAATTATAAATAATGACTATTCTACGGACTGGATGACCGAGGAATTGGGGTTCGATTCACGGAAGAGATTAAGATTGTCTTTTCTCCACAGCTTCCTGATCGCCTTTGGGGCCCACCTAGTCTATCCAGTGGGTGCCAGAGGCTGTTTCCTGGGGGTTACGACGGTCGGGGCGTGAAACTGCCCACTCACCTCCGTCTATTACCGATCCATTGAGCTAAATGTTGTTTATATTCTACTTAATACGATGTCCATAACTTGGACACTATAAATTTGAATGACTTGATGATGATGATGATGATGATAGAGGTGGGAAGGACGCCAAAGGAAAAGGCTGTGGTCTAATTTAAGCTCATCTCCTATGATCCGGGATAGCTCAGTCGGTATAGTGTCAGTCTACGAGCTGGAAGGCCGGGGTTCGGTTCCCAGCAGGGGGAATAATTTTTCCCTTCTCCACAGTGTCTAGACCTCTTCTGGGGCCCACCTAGCATCCTATCCGTTGGGCACAAGGGTTTTCCCCCCCGGGAGTATAGCGGCCGGAAATAAAGCTGATAAAGCTACACCTCCACTCCCCCATACGTCTTCACGGCATGTTGCTCAATTAATTCAGCACTGGAAGAACTTTACCTTTTTACCGCGTGTCATTTTTCTTGAGAGGACTGAAGAAAATCATGATACAATTTCAGACAGGATATTCAGTATCCCTGCGGAGAATCGAGCCCAACACCTCCCGAACAGATCCGGCCAGCTCTGCCTTTGCGTAGGGATAAATTCAAATTTCCCCCAGCTGCACTCACCTCACTACGGTTTCGCTTTCCCCTGCATTATCAGGGTCTTCCTCTGAGGGACTGTTCTTCCACTGGGTCTCTTTGTGCCGCCGATCTCCAACAGAGGGTAAACTGAGACCTCCAAACCTTTGCCACATTTTGCTCCTACCGCTGGGTTCCGCGCGCCGCACCAGCTTGGAAAGGAACCATCGTGTGTCTTCTGGCGCCGCAATGGCCGCCATGGCTTCGGCACCATCCTCTGGCACCTCCTCTGTTGCCGGCACGTTGCCACTTCTCTTGCCGTGCGCTGAAACAAGCTTAGCTTTAGTGCCGTCACTGTGCCACTTACTTTGTTCCTTCGTTTTGGGCGTCACGAAGGAGCTGAACCAATGAGATTACAATTATATGCTATTACATATATAGTTAGAGTATGCTATGCAATAATATTGCCTACTCATTCTGTCTGTCTGTCTCTGTATATACTTGTGAAACTGAGATGGAAGCTTTGAGGCTGCATAATTTCGGATTATAACAAGTTGCATGTACGCATATCATGTAGTAAGTCACCAACTAGCAAGCAGTGCCGGGAATCCGGAAGGTATACTTCCATGGAAACGCAATAACAGTGGGCCGTTGCCTTGGGATACCTTAAGCCGCAAACGCTTTTCCCCGGAGACGAAAAGACAACAGAGGGTTCGTTGCATGACAGCGGCCGAGACCAAGGGCCGCTGCAGGATGCGCTATATTCCGTCCGAGACCAGGTTATACAAGTCCAGCTTCGAAGAGATTATTTATTGTTATGTCTGTCGTTGTGGGTTTTCTGTATGTAGTTCCATTTCTATTTGTCCGTGTCTATTAAATATATTTAAGTCCAGGTAAGCTAAATTTTTAAACACTTAATACCAGGAAGGCTGCTGTGATTGTGAAAAGTTGAATATTGTATACATTGTGTATTCCAGGCATTATGTGTGAATGTAATTTAGCAATCAGAACACCTATTGTGATGGTGGTTTCTGAATAAGTATTGATGTTCCCTCTGAAGATGATCCGTAAGTGTGTGCGCCTCTCTCTCTCTCTCTCTCTCTCTCTCTCAAGTCTCAATTCTGAGACAGTAAAATATGGCTGCGAGTCCCAAGGGACTCGGACCAGAGAAAGACTGCGCTGGCAAGAGCCAGCAGCATATACAAAAGACAGACTCGTCCTCTCGTCAGAGAAGGCGCCCCTCAGAAATAAGACCGCAACTGTCAAACGATAATAATTAATATCTGGTCATGAGCCCCAAATGGAGCTCGACACCAAGACTTACAGACTGACTGACTGACCGTCAGTCGCAATGTGACTCTGACTCTGACTGACTCTGACTGACTAGACAAGATTTTGCGAACCACTGGAAATTCTCCAAGGAGCACGCCGGTCCGTGGCTTGCGCACAACTTTAAATTTTCCGTGTGTATACGATTATATAACAAAATTGTACAGGCAACAAACAGGAGTCACACAAATCATGAGAATGAACATGTTCGCAGTACAGGATAAGTTGAAGCCAGACACAGAAAATATAAGAGGCTTAAACTTGGCGGTGGTCAAGCTTATGGCCGTTCAAATGAATAAGTTTTCGTTGTAGCATAAGATATGTAAGTTAGGTATGATCTGCTCTGTAAAGCCTGTACTGACAGAGGCAGAGAAGGAAGAGATTTCAATAACACTATATGTGCGAAATATACTCTTGAAGAAAGGTCGAATATATTCATAAGAGACAGATCCATCTTCTCGTCAGGATGTTACATAAGGACTATTACGGCAAGAGTTCAGTTGGGAAAAAATCCCTGGTCGTGGGCCTCAAGGGGTCTAACGCCAAGACGAACTGGTTGACGGTAAACCGCCAGTCGTAAAGTAACACTGACTCTGACCAGACAGTTAGTTGATCTCTAGAAGTTGCCGAGAACAGTTCAGTTTGTGTTCGACCTTAGAAGAGTAGTCAGTCTTCAGTTCGGCTTTGACTACAGCAGAATCAGTAATTGTGATATTGAAATTGTGAATAATTGTACTCACCAGTGGAAAAGTGACCGTTCATAAACATATTCGCCAAATCGGAGCCCTGCGTGAATTTATTTGTCGCGTTACATAGGCAACACACGACAGTATTTTATGTGGAATATATGAAGTGTATTACACTATATACATGGAAATTTTAAGATTCACTATTTGTGCATGTTATTCGTGGTAGATGGCGTTTTAACAGCCTCTACGTATCATTCGGTAAGAAGTAGGACTGGGAAGGAATACGAGGGAAAGCAATGGATGAAAATAGTACGAAAATTTATGAAACAAATTATGAGGCTTCCCGCTGAATCCTCAGAAGATATTACAGTAATATAAAACTATCTAACTGCATGGAACTGAGTCCTTTATGAGAAGCTTATAGTTGCTCAGCTACTAAAAAATTTCCCAGTAATTTATAGTAGTCGAAATTTCATTACTGTGTTCACTTGGGCCCTTCATTGGTCCTTATCCTAATCTAGACGCAGGGATAAAGTTAAGAATATTTGGAGCAATACCTCCACTCCTCCATACATCTGTATTTTAGCCAGGAACCTCCTAATAAGAGACACAGAATTAACCAAAGTGGAGCTGGGTTCGTTGACGTAGTTACGTCATGTAGAGTTTTGCAGACTGACAGGTCGGTGTTGCGTGGGAGGTACATTTATGACATCTGGCAATGTGTCATGCTAATGGTCTGTTATTGCATAATGCTATCAGATTGGGATGCGATCCAGTTTTAGGAAAAAAAAACACGGGTTGTCATTTATTCTTGTCATCAATTGCGAAACATTACAGAGCTGGGTCAGCAATCAAAGCAGTGTATACATGAAATTTTATCCTAAACTTACCAGGCAAACATCGGTTATATATATATCATAATTAACTAACGTCATAGATACAGCACGAGGGCACGCGATAAGGTAGTTTCTGCAAGCCTGAAGGTCGCGAATTCGATTCCCGATGAGGTAATTGGATTTTTCAATTGACCTGATCATTCCAGCCACACTGTGTCCCTATGGTCGACTCAGCCTCTAACAGAAATGAGTACCAGGAATCTTCCTGGGTGGTAAGAGGCTGCCGTCGCTTAAGGCTGACAACCTCACCGCCATCTGTGAGCCGATTGTCTACAGAAAATGTGGGAGCCTCGACGTCTCACAACCCTATGGGCCTCCACGGCCTGTTACAGGGATAGCTTTACTTAACTTCACCGCCATCTGTGAGCCGATTATCTAGAAAATGTGGGAGCATCGCCGTCTCACAACACTATTAACCCCATATTAACGGACAAACGTTCGTTAATATTTTCATATCGGCACGGATGACAGCCTGAGAATATTCCAACGCATACAGTCGCCTTGTAGTTCGAAAGAGCACCTAAGTTTCGGAAGAACATACTGCCTCTATCTTCAGGATCGAAGAGTAAGCTGGGGAACAAACCAACTAAGTATTCACAAAGATTGCTACTAGCGACATTTCACTGAGAGCCCTGAAACATAAATAGAAATATGTCTTCGAAAAATTTGTAAGGTAATTTTGCTGTCAAGTTTTGCTGGTTGCTTGCTTGGCTCGCTTACCGACTATGAAGATGGAGGCAGGTGGACCTCTGTCAGACTGCATGGCTGCAATACCCCCAGATTCGAGCGGACAGACCTACTTGTAAGTATTCCACGCAAACCTAAACTATATAGTTCTACAATTGGAGTAAATTATATTTACTTGTTTTATTTTATTCAAGCTATTCGTTTGCTGTTTCAGTTCTAAAACCAATCGACCTCATCAGTAATTTCTTCTTTCTACGAGCGACTATCAAAATATGAATTAAATTAAGCTGCTATTCAATTTGAAATATCTAAGTGAAAGGTAAAGTTAAAAAAAAAGGTAAAGCTATTCCTGTAACAGGCCGTGGAGGCCCATAGGGTTGTGAGACGTCGAGGCTCCCACATTTTGTAGACAATCGGCTCACACATGGTGGTGAGTTTAAGTGGAGGCCCATAGGTTCTTGAGACGTCGAGTATCCCACATTTTCTAGACAACCGGCTCACGGATGGCGGTGAGGTTGTGAACCTTACGCGCCGGCCGGCCGCCCTTTACCCCCAGGAAGATTCCTGATACTCGTTTTTGTCAGAGGCTGTGTCGACCCCAGGGCCATGGCGCGGCTGGAAGGATTAGGTCACTCACTCACTCACGGAGCTGAGCCCTTCTTGAGAAGCCTCTAATTGCCAATTGTGTAGCTACTCAAGAACTTCCTAGCATTATATGGAACCCAAAGTTTCATTACCGTGTCCACAAGAGCCCTCATCTAGTCCCTATTCTGAGCCAGATCAATCCAATCCATATTATCCCATTCTATCTCTGTAAGATCCATTTTAATATTGTCCACCCACCTACATTTTGGTGTTCCTAGTGATGTCTTTCCTTCTGAGTTTCCCACCAATATTCTATATGCATTCCTCTTCTACCCCATTCGTGCTACATGGCCTTAGTGGGGCCCTTGTCATCACGGCATGGCGCGTCCTCAGGTTGCGCATGGAGGGGACGGCTTCCAGGTGTGGAGGGTTGCTGTGAATATATTGAATAAGCAGTCGCGGACAGCCGACAAGGGATGAACCTCCAGCTTGGGTTTTTGGGCTTGGGGCTGAGAACACCTAACTTTAAAAATAAGCTTGTTACGAAAGATCACAAGAAGCCTCGGACCTGTATGGATTCTTTAGCAGGACTAGGTCAACTAAAAATTGCAACGATCTCTTCGGAACCCGCGACCTTTCGGCTTGTAACATAGTGCCTCAACCACCTACGCTACCGCGAGCCCCAGCATAGGGAAAAGAGAACAGTAAATTTCACTTCAGGACCCGAGAATCAGTGTCAGGCTATCGTGACGGAAACTGGTTTAAAAATAATCAGAGAAACAGATTTTCGTTTCGGTTCCAATCCTTTGTTTTTGTGGAAATCATGTGACTTTTATTCGTATCAATCCGCGTCATCTAATTACGCGACCAAAACGCTCTACATCCAGATCGTTAGGACTGTTTCTACCCGGCTAGATTTGACGTCCTCACGGCGGTCATAATGCAGTGTGACTCCGTGTAATGTGCTAGAAGTCTACCGACGTTTCGAAGGAATATACTGCGACTAGAAGAAGCAAGCAGCAATTCGTACGTGAGGTTGACACTCCTTTAGCTATGAGAATCATCTTCTTGGATGTGAAACCGTGTAGTCTGGTAGAAGTATACCAGGGTTTCGAAGGAACGTACAGCTTCAATTTTCAGGGTTGAAAAATAACTAACCAAGTAGCCAGCAAGGGCAAACACAGCGTTGCTGTAAGTAAGTGTAAGGCAAAACCATCCCTGTGCTTAAGTAATAGCGCATCACGCTTTGAAGACGTATGGGGGACTGGAGGTATAGCTCCACAATTTTTGGCCTCTGCACTAGATGGAGGGGAGTGGTCAGCTTCATGCCCCGCCCCAGTAGTCATTGTATAAAATGTTCTGTTGGTCCCACGGCCGGACTTGACGCTATGTAGTTGTGAAAACTATATTGCCCTGCCGGAATTCGAACCCTGACCGTATGCACTTCCCCATACTTCGGTGCGAAGGGATAGCGCTACTGCTTTGATTTCGGGAGGCCTTGAGTTGAAATCTCGGCTCTGATTCAAATCACGCTGAGATGATTTTCGTCGTGTTCCTCAGTCCCTGCGGATGAATGCTAGGATAGTACCTTAAATTTGGCTACGATGTAAACAGCTACATCTAAATCCTTTAAAATTAATTAATCCTACCATTCGACACTATGTAGTCTGAGCTACTGAAACAAAGACTTCAGACAGCCTAAATATCATTAAAAAATTCAGTTTCTACCTCATAGAAAACACACTGCTTTCCGTTGCAAAGGCTGTTTAAACAAATATTGAATCGTTTGAAAACATGATGAGCTTCATACTTTCTACTTTTCCACAAGTACAATTAAAATGATCAAGTCAAGGAGGATGAGATGGGCAGGGCATGTAGCAAGAAATGGATAGTAGAAGAAGAATTTATGTAGACTATTAGTGGAAAAGCCAGAAAGAACACGTTTACAGAGCCGTTGCCCAGGAACGGCCCTTTTATATCCACCCACCTCCGGGTCGTTGCATAGCAACGGATCCACACCTTACAGTATATTAAAAAAGGGATCTTAGAGAAACAGGATGTTGACTGGATTCATCTGACTCAGGATAAGGACGTGTGCTTGACTCTTTCGAACAAAATGAAGATCTACCAATTCCATAAAATTTCAGGAAACTCTTTGAGTAGCTGAAGGACTGGCGGCTTCTCCAGGACTCAGCTCCATGGAGTCAGTTAATGTAGGATGCTTTACCATGGAATTATGAAAATATCCTGATGCTTCCATTTCTGTATCACTGAGTATTTGTAAATGCAGTTCCGCCCCCGAAGTGTGAGTGATCTGCCTCACACGTTTCGTTGCACGGCCGATGAACTCATTAGGTCCTGGCTGAAGCCATGACGGAATACGGGCTGGCTTTGTAACCTACTGAATATCCCTTCTTGACGAGCGACAAACGTCCAATTTTAACTCCCTCTACGTTTATCACGTCTGCTCGCACATTACCCTGTGTTCCCTTGCAATTTAAGTGGATTTCAAGACGGATATCGCGTTTCTTCTAGAAGCTACACGTAGTTTCAGGAACGCTGTAACGAACCGATGCGTCACTTCGCAATGCCCTAAACGAAAGGATTTCGGTAATATTTTATATTGCGAATTTAGTAAATCTTTTTCAGATGATTACACTTAGCGCAAATATTATATATTACTTGCTTATTTAGTGATGCGTTAACTTGTTTCAAATGACTCCTTTTTCAGGTATATTTTCCTCTCAAACAATGTTTGACTACAGGGTTGTTTAGAACAATATTTTGACCTATCAGGGGCAAAATAACACAAGACTGGAGATATTTACATAATGAGGAGCATTACATAATGTCTATCTGTCATTCTAATTATACTTGGAGAAGAGTACAATTTATGAAGCTCCTCATTATGCAGTTTTCTCCAATCTCCTGTCACTTCATCTCTCTTCGGTCCAAATATTCTCCTCAACACCCTGTTCTCAAACACCCTCAGTCTATGTTCCTCCCTTAATATCAGAGACCAAGTCTCACACCCATACAGAACCACAGGCAAAGTTATAGTTTTGTATATTCTACTTTTTATGTTTTTGAACAGCAGACGAAAGGACAAAAGGTTCTGGGCTGAATGGTGCAAGCATTACCTGAGTTAAATTTCCTTTTAATTTCCTCCTGAATTAAGTTTCGATAAATGTAGAACGTTATCAGGATAGTCAAATACATTATTTTAGAGAACTTACCTCCCCAACAGGAATGGCCGTAACTGAGACACGATCCTGTGAAGTAGAACAAAACAGAGCACATGTTAGAATGTTATGTATATCACTTTCCATTATGCCTCTAAGTGCCAACCATAGAAAATTTCGACCTTCACATAAACTGCTACACCTGACAGCATGTGAAGTCTATTGGCATTGTTTGAATTACATGAACCAAGAAATATATAAACAAAAAAAATAAAGCAACAAACTCCTTGATTTTAGTCCGCAAGCTAACTATACCGACTGAGCGACCGCCGCTTGTCGGTGAAGTTTAGTGCCAACATTTGTGGTTAGAGGGTGTTGCGTGGTCAGCGCAACGAATCCCCACGACAGTTAATTTCGATTTTCTAGACCGCAGCAGCTATTTCCTTGAAAGAGCTCCTGAATTATCATCACGAAGCTGAGTGGACATTAGTATTTATTACCGTCACCACAAAAGCACGAATTGTAACACAACAATTTAACGTTTAATATTTTAATATATTTTCCATGAGACATGGATCAGTCTAGAGAGAAAATAGAAGAAACACAAAGATGAATTCAAAAATCTTTATTACGTGTTGATGGCCAAAAATATATAAAAAACCTTGTAGTGTACAATATAGTGTAAATATACACCTAAATTATGATGACTGAAATATATAATATTTTATTCACACAATATAACGCTTCAATAAAATGTGCGAAGGAAATTTTGTCTACATTTAAAAACGGTGGTTATTTTTTTCTATTCAAGTTGTTTCTGAACTTTTTACCATTACTGAAAGTGATTCTTGCGGTGATACTGAATGAAACAATGCTAGATGCACTTTGGCACGACAATGAACTGTTAACTGAACTACATGTATTTGAAGTTAACATTACTTCAGTAAAGTTTACAGTAACAAGCAATGATATGTACTGGGTGCAAAGTCATCAAGGCCACGCGTGTGTTCATATTAGGTTCGTAGACAAGACATCTGATGTACACCCACACATGGAAGTTATGGGGCCTGAGGTTCGGTGATCAGGGTGGCAAAGAGTGTCAACATCAGCACCCTGTTCTCTCACGCTCTCATTCTGTGTTCCTCACTTATTTTCAGAGACCAAATTCCACACGCATACAAAATTAGAGCACTGTATATTCAAATTTTTTTCTTTTTTAGACAACTAAAGGGAAGACAAAATGTTATGAAGTGAATGGCAGTAAGCATTACTCGAATCCAGTCACTAAGCAATTTGAAATGGTGACATTTTTTATAATAGAATAAATCTTATTCGTTAGTAAATCATATTCTCACGTCGTGGTTGAAAAAAATTAGAAGAAATCTGAGAGAGGATGTGAAACTGAAACAAAATCGGATGATCTGTCTGAAAATTCAATACAAATACGTGACGCGATGGAAAATTTCTGTGCCAAAATCAGGAAACTTCAACAACAGTTTCTCATGATATTCGAATTATTGGTAATATATGTATCGTCCCAGAACAGGGTGTTGAGGAGAATATTTGGACCGAGGAGAGATGAAGTGACGGGAGGTTGGAGAAAACTGCATAATGAGGAGCTTCATAACTTGTACTCTTCTCCAATTATAATTAGAATGATCAAGTCAAGGAGGATGAGGTGGGCAGGGCATGTAGCACGAATGGGGAAGACGAAGAATGCATTTAGGATATTTGTGGGAAAGCCAGAAGGAAAGAGACCACTGGGAAGACAAAGGCGTAGGTGGGTGGACAATATTAAAATGGATCTTAGAGAGATAGGATAGGATGGCGTTGAGGTTAAGTAAAACTATCCCTGTAACAGGCCGTGGAGGCCTATAGGTTTGTGAGACGTCGAGGCTCTCACATTTCCTAGACAGTCGGCTCACAGGTGGCGGTGAGGTTAAGTAAAGCTATCCCTGTAACAGGCCGTGGAGGCCTATAGGTTTGTGAGACGTCGAGGCTCTCACATTTCCTAGACAGTCGGCTCACAGGTGGCGGTGAGGTTAAGTAAAGCTATCCCTGTAACAGGCCGTGGAGGCCCATAGGCTTGTGAGATGTGGAGGCTCCCACATTTTCTAGACAATCGGCTAATAGATTGCGGCAAGGTTGTCGGCCTTACGCGCCGGCCTCCCTTTACCCCCAAGAATATTTTAAGAATATTCCTAGTATTAATTTCTGTTAGAGGCTGAGTCGACCCCAGGGCCATAATGCGGCTGGAAGGAGTAGGTCAATTGAAAAAAAATTCAATGACCTCCTCGGGACTTGAACCTGCGACCATCCGGCTTCTAGCAAAGTGCCTCAACCAACTACGCTACCGCGTGCCCCCATGTTCCACACCCATACAGAGGGAAATTCGTGTTCTGACATGAATCTCTACAAGAATTAGAACTTCACATAATCGACTGTTCTGGAAACTAAATGTTTTGCTCCAACAGAGCTTATCTTATTTAAATATATATAAAAGAATTTGGGCACAAAATATACGTAGTAAGAACGATTCGTGTTCTGGAGGAGCATAAATATACTCGGAAAACCGTCGTGTCTAGCTGCAAAAAATTTACCTTAAGTAGAAAAAACGTTCCTCTTTTCCTCTGCTTGAAGCAGCTTCTAACAGCTTTCTCGTGCAGTACCTCGGCCCCTGTGCTTCAAGAAATTATGTCGTGATCATAATTAAATTAAGTTTTCTGTTCTGTTCAAAGTTTCGCCAAAACAAAATCTCTACATATGACTTAATATGGTGGTTCTAAGAAAATGTGGATGCATATATGTCCTAATCAAAATCTGACTAAACTGTGTCGTCTACATGTTTAAGAGTTTTGACAAAGAAAAATTGATCTCACAAGCATACTTTTTTGTGAAACAAGGGAAGTGTGCTAAGAACAATTCAGAATTGCTTTACGACTGGCGGTGTACCGCCAATCAGTTCATCTTGGTGCCAAGCCCCTCGAGGTTCAAGACCAGAAATATTTTGCAACTTAACCCTTGCGGGCATAGTCCTTATGCAATATCCTCTCTGACGGGAGGATGGGTTTGTTTTTTATGAACATGCTTCGGCTTTGTCATGTGTACGTTTCTTCCCGGGAAGCTGTCAGTCCGATAGACGTCTTAATTTGGAATGTAGAACCTCTCAGGGGGTTTGAATTCGTGAAAAAAGCACAGCGCAACACAACAGGAAGAGCAATCTATCACTTTGAATAGGCATGCGCACAGAGGGGACCATACATTAATAACCAAAGCCACGATAACAGAAGCACAGCAGTTTCATCGACTGTAATTTTAAACACCTGATGACGACCGACCATATTGGTCGAAACATGTAGTGAAAAACTTTTAAAAAGGATATGATGTGTAAAACTTTTAATGTGAACAACTTTCTATAAGTTCTATAGAAAGATCTGTCTTACGTGAGACGGTGGAACCAGTGATATTTGATCCATTGTTAGAAGCCGTTGCCAGGAAACAACTATTGGAGACTGTAATAGACTGAGAACATTAGTCTGTGTGCGATAGTGATCTGTAAAGTGTAGTCACGAGTTGTATTTTAAGTGTCCAATAAATTCGATTACCAATCCAAACCCCGTCTTTAGACACTCCCTCGCGTGACACTATGATTGCGTCAGTTTTTCGAGTTCAAATATGTTGAAAATAATTTATGTCATACTCCTAGATAGCAGGTTGTCTAGTGCATAGTGTCATTCTATCAATTCAATTCTCTCAGTACAAATGTGGGCTGTTTTTCAGAAGTTACGTGCTCGGTAATCCTCCATGTTTAAAAATGGAAGTACCAAATGTCACCGTTAAGAGGGCAGCACTGTTGCTTGGTATTTTATAGGTTCGGATGTTCATGTCTGATTACTGAGGTCAGCTGTCCTGTATGAAGATTTCTGCGGTTTTCCTCAGTTCGCCCCGGGTAAACCAAGAATATCACCTGATATAAGTTACGATCATCACTCTCCACATGTTTCTTAATCCACCATTCAATTATCGTTCTATATTCTTAGCTATGCAATCTGAAATACTGACAGCAGCCACGAGCAAACCCTGGACGATATAAAGGTAGTACATAACACATCCTCAAACATATATATATATAAATTATATATAGACAGTATGAACATTGAAATAGTAAAATACCCATAATATATTTGCAGAACCTCCACATCAAGATAGCCAGGTGGCACAATATCTGCCCCATATAAGAGAGACGATGGGAGGACGAACACGAGCCTGCATGGTTTACGAATTTTAATTATTGAAAATACAAACAAATTTTAATTAGCATCAAGAAATTTTATACAATTTTTTAAAAAGTTTACATTCCCAGGAATCTGCTGTTTGTGAAATGTTCTATTTTGTGTACTATGCATTGTAGCATATAAGTGTACGTACTTTACGTCTAAACAACTTATGTGATGGTGTAAGATTTGAGGCTTTCACGGCGGTGACTATGAAGAAAGCAGTCTTCTGGGATTTGGCACCGTGTATAAGTGGTGTTAACCGACGTTCCTCCGAAACGTCGGTTAACACCACTTATACACGGTGCCAAATTCCAGAAGACTGCTTTCTTTATGTGATGGTGGTTTCCTATTTGTAGTGATGTTTGCCCTCTGAAAATGGTCCACAGAGACCGAAACATGTAAGGGTGTTAAGTTTTAATGTAGTAAAAAAACTTACAGGTCACATTGGACGGAGTGATTTATATTTGTAACTCTCTCTTGGTTACAGTTGTACCCGTGTGGAGGCCGGGTCGAATACCTCTACCGTAGCCCTGCGGGTCGTAGGAGGCGACGAAAAGGGAAGTCTCAAATCTTAGACAGGAAAATACGGTGAATGTCTGCTCTGGAGACGGCCGGTAGCAATTGTAAACAACAGACACGTCCTCTCGCCAGAGAGGGCACCCAACATCAACAGTCTGACAGTAATAAAAATCTAGTCATGGGCCCCAGATGGGTGCTTGACACCAAGACAGACCAGCCGACTGACCATCGGTCGTAACGTAGCTTTGACTTTGCTTTCAGTCGAGAGTTGTAGTTATGAGAAGTAAGAAGCTG